GCTCCTTGCCACCTCTGTCACTTGGGCTTCCAAGGACAGCTCCGGGTCGAGGAGCACTCCCAAGCTGTGGACCCTGTCCTTCAGAGGAAGTGCAACCCTGTCCAGGGCAAGGCCCAAGTCACCTACCCAGGAGCTTGAATCACCCATCGGCTGAACCTCCATCTTGTCTGGATTGAGTTTCAGTTTATTGGTCCTCATCCAGCCCATTACCTCAGCAAGGCACTGGTTCAGTACGTGGGTTAGTTGAAAAAGAGAGGTAGAGCTGGGCGTCATCAGCATACTGATGACTCCACAGCCCAAACCTCCTGATGACCACTCCCAGTGATTTCATGTAGATGTTAAATAGCAAGGGGGACAAAATGGAGCCCTGCGGAACTCCATGGCAAAGTTGCCATGGTGCAGAGCCAAAGTCCCCCAGCACCACCTTCTGGAATCGGCCATCAAGGTAGGAGTGGAACTACTGCTAAGCAGTGTCTCCTACTCCCAATCCTGACAGCCTATCCAGGAGGATGCCCTGGTCGATGGTATCGAAAGCCGCTGAGGTCCAGGAGAACCAACAAAGATGCACTCCCCCTGTCTCTCTCCCTGCACAGGTCATCGTACAGGGCGACCAAGGCAGATTCAGTGCCGTACCCGGGTCTGAAGCCAGACTGAAATGGGTCCTGATAATCAGTTTCATCCAAGAGTACCTGGAGTTGTCCCACCACCACCCGTTCCAACACCTTGCCCAAAAACAGGATGTTGGCCATCGGTTCAGATCCAGAGACGCCTTCTTTAGGACAGGCCTGATTGCCGCCTGCTTGAAAGGAGCGGGCACCTGGCCAGCCCTCAGAGAGGCATTAATCCTGGATCCAGCCCTCCAGGATCCAGGAACCAATCCCATGTTTGGCTTTGGTCAGCAGCCATGAAGGGCAAGGGCTGAGTAAGCAGGTGGTAGGATGTACTTTCCAAGTACCTTGTCCCGCATTAACTGAATTATTATTACCAATTTCAATAATGAAAGACCAGTCCTATACAGCTTTTCCACGTTTCAATAATGCACTGAAAGGCAAAGGAGGGAACACATGGACCTTCAGATAGAAATCAGCTTGAAAACTTTGTTAAAAGCTTCATTTTGTAGATCGGAATTAGTACTAGTAAGCATTGTAAGCATTGTAGACATCTTGTGAAAGGCTCCCTTTGAGAGACTAAAGGACACATTCCTGATCATTATGAAGTTCTCCTGACCTAATTATTCTGTTTAGAAACTCACTACTGCTTCTTTCAGAGAGAAGTACATATGCTGCCTATGATTAAACACATTATTTTTTATTTTTATTAAATAATAAAACCAGTGTTGTATTAAAATTCCAAGCATTAAACTCACATCCTTTGGTAGGCTATTACTCACAAATACTGTACAACTGGAAAACTCACCAATCGACATCTTAAATCCTTATTTCCCTCTCTGTATGAAGATATGATAAACTTCCAAGCTTTAAACCTGTGGGTTTCATTTTATTCACAAGGACCTACAGTACAGACCCTCTTTCTCCATTCTGCTTACCTTCACCAGGAAATTATCTGCAGAAAATCCAAATTTCCATAGATTTTTCTTTACATATTTCAACATTTAAATGACATTTTACTTTGCTATTAATATACTTCAATTAGAAGCAGAGAAGCTAATAATCTTGCTGAGTTTTACCAAGATCAGAAATATTCTTATTGCACACTTCGCTAGCTCATTAGAAGAAACACAGAATTCTCCTCAAGTAAGCCTAGGGGCACCGTCTCATAAGTTGCACCCTCAATGCTCATATGCTCCTGAATTCTGGTGCTTACAAGCATCCTATGTCGGGCAGGCAATCTTTGCTTCCCCATCCTCCTGTCCTAGCTCCTCGGATCTAGGTGGCCTTTTCAAAGGGGTGGAAAGCAGGATGGAAAGACTTTAGGACAGTTCATATCTTGGCCTTACCTGTTTCTTTTCCATCTGAGCTCTGGATGAAGTTCTGATTCCCAGTTCTGACTTCAGAGATGGAAATCTGAAACATCCCATGGCCTCTGAAACATTCTCAGGTCCACAGGATTGTTCCCTCCAACAGCAAGCCTCTGCGTAGCCAGTACCACTTGATAACATCCATGCTATTTATGGATCAATCAAAAAACAAAACAACCCCTTCCAAAAAATAGCTCCAAACTGCACATAATAGTAGACAAGAAAAATATGAGTGCCTTCGCTGAACCCCTGAATGACTAGGGCAGGGGCCATCTGCTCTCTTAGTTGCAATATGTGAACTGCAAGTAGAAGTGCAGGAAAGCATGGAGGCAGCGAGCAGCAGCCGTTGCAGAACAAACACTTGCCAATAAGGCAGATTGCAAAGTTGCTGCCTGTGCGTCTGTTGTGGACAACGGGCCCAGCATGGCGAGAGCCAGTTGGAGCACCCAGAATGTGGGTTAAAAGGGGGAGAGCTGTAAACAATTGTTGTGATGCTTTTTTGGTCAGTTTTCTTCTGGAAAAAGGGAAAGGAAGGAGATTGGTAATAAGCTGGAGACTGAGTGTCGTGTGGTATAGTAGCTAAGGACAAGGGACTGGGGCTCAGGAAACCAGGATTCCAAGCCCTACTTGGCCATGGAGCCAACTGGGTGACTTTGAGTCCATCACAGACTATTAGCCCAACCTCCTTCACAGGGTTCTTGCTGTGGAGGTAAGACTGAGAGCAGGAGGAGGAGAATGGTGTAAACCGCTTTGAGTTCATAAGAAACAAGTGGGATAGAAATCAAATAAATAAACAAATAAATAGGAATAACCTGGAGGCTGGGTATGCTGTGTTTGGAGGAAATGGGGCTGCCACGATGGATACAGTAACCTTTGCAAGCCCAAGAAGCTCATCCATCCAGATTTTGTTTCCAGGGGTGAGAACTAAATACTGTTTGTTTGCTGGTAGCCCTGTTTCATAGGGGAAAGGAGCGCACCACACACTCAATCGCAACCTTGGTATCTGCTGATGTCTCAGGATCCTGCAAGGTGCTGACGCTCCGCAGCTTTGCTATAAGCCCTGGGAGGGAGGCAGCCAGTACGCCAACTACAGCAAAGAGGCCTGGATGCAGAGTCCTGGGGCACGAGGAGAGAGGGGTTAGTCCCTCGGGAGAGGGTAGCAAAGGTGGTGGGAATGCGGATAATGTTAGGCGGACACAAGTGAGAGCTCGGAACCTCCTGGTCCTACACGGCTGCTGCCTCTACTCAGCTACCACTCTTCCTTTTCATCAACCGGGTTGGCTGAGTGCTTGGCAGCTAGCAGCCAGTTGCCATGAAAAGCTTTCAGAAATCATTCTCTTGCCCCACAGTAACTCAGGGGGCAGAGATCTGCCCTTTCATACTGTATGAAGCATCAGGCACATGGATCACGGCATCCTGATCACAGCACACACACACACAGCCAGCATCTTTCATCCAGCAGCGTCCACCGAGTAATTTTTGCTAATGGTTAACAAGAAGCTGAGGACATTCCCGCCTCAGCTGTAAGAGAGCTGGGAAGACTCCCTGAGCCCAAGGCCAGCAGGATCTTTCAGCAACAGCTTTGGAACTCAGGTGAGCAGTGAAACTGTAGCAGGGTTCTATCCGTGGGATGTAATTCTTGCCTATGCAAAATAAAAGTAAAACTTGCAAGGGCCATGTTTGCCTGGTTGTTGACAGTAGGAAATACGTTGCAGTAAATGGCTACGAAGGATTTACCATGCAAAATAGGGGTTTAAAACCCAACTGGGAAGGCCACCAGTGGTGTATTCTTGTAGATTAGGCATTTTGATAAAGCATAGAATAAACACTTCTTGGCATCAAATGCAAAATACATATATGGCTCTTGGGATGGATATTTTTCAAATGGGATTCTTTTTGAAAGAGATTTTGTCTGAAAACTTCAATCCAAAATCTTCTTTCCATCCACAAAACCACACTCCAAACTTCTTGCCTAGCTACGCCATTAAACCCTGACCAGTCATATTTGCTTACATTTCAGAGTTTTGAATCTCTGCATCCATATTTGTATCCACCTATTCTTATGTGAAGTTTCCTTTAAACAACGAGCATTTAAACACCAAAGTATAAGGAAAGAGTAAGCTAAATCCTCTGCACATCCTAAGCCTGCTTCCCCTTTTACTGTTGAAAGATACATTTCTTAAGGGTAGGGAGCCAATTACTTTTAAGGCTGATTCTCCCAACAGCTAAAGGGCTTTTATGTATGCCTTGCCAGAAAAATGAATCAGTGTTCTCATCAGAAGGTTCAACAATAACAAGACATTTCCCCACTTACGTGACAAAATGTGGCAAGGAAGGATGTAACAAAGAGTAAGACTGAATGCAGGGAGACCCTTGAACTAACATGTGAGTTATTTAAATCCTTTCCAAAGTCTCTTTTCTCACATTTGCTTGCTTTTACTGTTTCTCTCTCTCAAGGGTGCTCTGCCATGAGAAAAATCAGTAAGCCCAGATGTAACACTGAGAGTCTAACCAACTGCTCAAATATTTATAAGTCACATAATACAGAAATTTATATTACTGAACATTTAAACACAAGCATCATCTTAATGAAACCCAAAATCCTAGACATGTGTCTGCAATATAGGTAAACACTTAAAATCCATAATTTAAACCCCATAAAAAACAGGGTCTGCCATTTGAAGAAGAAAATCATCTGGTACGTTCAGGCTATATTCAGCTGCAATATGGTATAGATATTCCAAAGTGGACACCTTTATGGAGTCCCACTATTTCTTGAGAATAAACAAGGAGACTGCCTCAGCTGGAAGTTGTTCACAACATTGTTAATCTGTGCTCTGCAGCTATTCATCTTTAGATGGCTTCATACTTCCATACCTTACCTTTTATGGTAATAAAAATTCTTGATATGGAAAATAAACCAAAAGTTCAGTCCCAGCATTCACTGCAAGAGAGTTCTGTGCAAAGTGGATTTTAAAGCTGCGAGGTTTGCTACTTGGTTGCCACTATAGGACAGCTTCCACATTTTAGGATTCATTAAAAACTCCACTAACTTCTGAACAAAAGCCTTACTAATTCCCATCAGATCGTAAGTATTATTTTGGAAAAGTTTGTTTTACTCTTCGCAAACTGTTGCATTATGGTATTTTATCTTTTTCTTCTCTCTCTCTTTCTCCAAAGCAATTCTAATTTCCTTGTCTTTTTCCTAACAAAATAACTAAGAGATCCCAGCCACTCCAGACTTTATTTTTTAAACCATGGGAAAGAAGTAATAGAAAAGAAGGATTTCCTTTTCCTAAAAGGAAATGCATAAGAGCTGGAACAAATTAACTGAATTATTTAACACCCATGATGCTGATACTTTGTGAATTACGCTGTGGGTAGCCAGGCATCCACCAGAGTAAGGGACTATGTTCTAGTTTTTGTTAATGAGCGTCCACGGCTTCAGCAGCATTTCGCTCCCTAAGAGGAACTCATTGTATTTGGCATTCCTATTTCAATTTTCAGTGGAGCTTGTAGACATTCTTCTGGTGAACATTTGTATTGTATTGCACTGCGCTGGCACTACTGCAGATGTTGTTTTTGGATACAAACGAGAGAAGCCCTATGCCAAGATTTTAAAAATACAGAGATACCCAGTATGCCACACCCTGTGCCAGTGGGGACACACTCAGGATTCAGAGAATGACAGCCCAACATAGAACTGTTTGGAACAGAGAACTAACTTTTGCCAGCAAGAGAGGAACTAGTTCATATCACAATCTCCCAAAGTGCTCTTCTTCTAGACATCTAATTCTACATCAGTATTTTCGATTTTGTAATGATCATTTCAGCATCTAATTCTCTCTCCCAAATATTGTCATCATCACCTGATCGTGTGTCAAAAAGCTAATTCTATTTATTTAGAGACTGGTCTTTTGCTCTGCCAGAATACTCGATTCCCTTTTGGCATTTTTCCACAAAGTACACTCCATCCTCAATACTGTGGCGTACACACCCAGTCACCAAATACTGCATATTTCAGGATTCGGTATACCTCCCCGCATTAGGAATCCCTGCACTGCATCCACAAGTCCACTTGTATTTCCACGAAGCCTTCCCTCAACTGCAGAAGAAATGCTGCATAACTGCATGGTGCCAAGGTGCCCCAGGCTCAGCCCTGGATCTCAGTTTTGGCTCTGCGATATATGAAGAAAGCCTAGATTAACAAAAATGGGGCTTGCAAGCACTGTGGCATGGAGGCTCCAATCCTGGAGGCAGCCATCCAGGATACTCCTTTCTATTCCCGGTTTTCCATTAGTTTTCCCTCCCCAACAGTCAGCACACATCCCATCCCCAGGAAGCATGCTTAATTCCCAGGAGGTGCTCGAAAGGGCTGCCCCACTTACGCAAGCCTGTTGATGCCTGTCTCCTTCTTTAGCATTGGTACAGCTGCTATATGCTATACTCATGAAGAAGTTCAGAATGTACACAACATATATCTGTACACGCATATAATGTATATTACCATGCATGCATAGCACCGTAGCACCAAACATGCAACTGGGATTAAGGAAAGAGCTTCCCAACTGGGTGAAGGTGTTTCCTGTAAAACCTAAGTCCTGGCAGCTCATTTGCTAGAAATTAGGTGCAATTGTATAAGATCCATATGTTACAACAATGCACATGCTCACGACTGTGCATAAAATACAATTTTATCTATTTGTCCTTTAAGAAAAGACACCGCCCACCTTCTCTTTGGTAGAGTACTACACTGTATCACATTCCCGTGACATTAAGTGTGATGATATGCTCTTGTGTCTGCGTATGTCCTAGTCCAAAAACTCCTGCTACCACTCAAAGAAAAAAAAACTTTTTAATTGGACCCAGCATTTTGAAAGCTAGCTGTCAAAATTGTCACACTAAAGTTACCCTTTCCCAAGCACTAACAGGTTCAGGACAAAGTGCAAAATGTGTACCCAAGTGGAAACTAAAGAACTGAAAAATATTTTGAGGATCTTTATGTGAAAGTTTAAATCCTGCCAAAACTCTTTTCACAGCTAAAGTTTACTTGTGCCTTTTTTTAACAGCTCACCTTTTAATAGCTGTCAAGAAAAAAAAAAACAAGCTGGGAAAATATATTTGAAGCCTTTTCTGGCAACATCCAGGACTAGCACTTGCCGCTCCTTGGCAGCAGGTACCTTCCCGGACATTGCCCCACATCCCTGCACAGTTGTACAACTATGGCAAAATTAAAAAAAAAAACCCTTAAAATTTGGACACAAAATTGACAACAATGTTTGGAAACTATGAGAAGGTCCTACAACATACTATTGAGGCACTTTGAATGGACTGTTTGTGGCAGTCAGTATGGGGCCCACGAAAGCTGGCTTCCATCTCCCCTGTCCCGGAAAGTAAGGGGAAGGGGGGGGGGAAGCTGCAGTGAGTCCGAGGTTGCTTGGAGCAGGGGCGGCCAGAGCCAGCTGGTGCCAGGGCTCACCCAGTAGCCCCACCGCAAGAGCAGCGGGGTGTGTGTGCTGTGATTGTGTTCAATAGCCACTAACAATGAAGTGCTCAGTCTCCCATTTCAGATGAGGTACCCCCCCATTCTGGATAGAGCAGCACCTACAGCCACCCATGAGCTGTTGAGTGGGTTGTTGCCCACGCATGAATCAGTGCAGAACAACCATCCTGGGTTGTTACGTCATCCGAAGCCAGTCACTGTGTTGCTGTTGGAAGCTCGAGGCCTTTTATGAACCGAGTAGCTTTGCTAGTGTTTTCTCTCCATCCCTCATTATGAAACTAGTGGTACCAGTACTCTTTCCAATCCCTTCAATAAAATTTCCAGTTCCTATTCATGACTTTGTGTTAATAGAACAGCTGAAGGAAGTGGCTCAACAGACTCTCCTGCTTCACGCATAGCCCTGTGATTCTCCTTTCTGTGGCGAGGGCCCTCCCCAGGAACAGCTTCTGTTTGTGTGCCAGGTCCCCTTTGACAACTGACTGCTACCAGAACCTCTGACCCATCAGCCTAACCATTTTCCCTGGAAAGGTGCAGCCCTGGAGAGAACCAGAACTTACCAGAGGAATTAGGTCAACGCCTAAATATTTTTCCTTAACGGCTGGAAATGAACCAAGATTTGCTTTAGCAGTATGGTAGCTTGAGTTGTTTTGCTCAAAATGTAAAATTCACATATGTGCTGTTGTGTTAGGGCAAGTTAGTAAATTGAATTGATAGGACCAATTTGGGAAGTATTTCTTGAAGGGCAGAATATATATTGAAACAACAGATTAAGTTAAAAGAAAAACACCTAGCAGGAGACTGAGGAAGGTCAAAGCAGGACAAAAGAAGGAGAAAAGTTCAGGATTTCAGAACCTGTGAGGTGCTGTGTGAATAGCAAAGTATTACTGTCTGAATGAAAAGTGGGACTCCAGCGATGTGCCTGAGCACCTGGCAATTACAGAGGTCACTCCTCAGTGCAAGCGCTCCTCCTCCTCAGTCTCTGGAAGTTAGAACAAATTTATAGCAACATTTTATTTTTGCACTGAAACAGCATTACAAAAATAGTAGAGGTGACTTCTAGAGGACCCACTGGGCATCATGCCCTATTCTTCCTCTTCTCAGTCACTGAAGGTTCATTCCTAAAACAGATTAACACTTCAAATGGCAAAGGAGCAGAACTCAGCAGAACCTGCATTCAGATAAGCATGCAAGTTATCTTTTGTCCCCAGGTTATGGCTGTAGTCTTGGGTAACTGTAGCCTCATGTGCACAGCTTAGCTTGGCTAGCAACAGCCTAGGAAGCTGACTGGATAAAAAAATGTACTTTTAGTCTCTTCTCTGGAACCAGATGGTTAACCAAAACAATCCCAACTTCACTGGCACAAGGAATGCTCCTCCGTGGCTCGAGATCTCAAACTTACAATGGATAATAAAAAGTGAACTTCCATCTTAAGCAAATGCCATCGCACAGTTGAACATTCATTAAACAGAAATACTGATGGGCAAATTACCACTGTCAGAGTTCATAAACTGATCAATGAGTTAGAATCCAACATTTTACATGCAAAATCTGTGTTATTGGGATTTTAAGCTTTTACTTTTTTCTTTCTGCATGGGCATCACGGAAATGTGGCATGCAGAACCCTTTCTGCCCCTTGCATCAGAGTGCAATGAGTCCGCACATGTCTTCCTCCGATTGGTCATTAACACGTGTGCTTTGTTCTCAGAAAGCCCCTAATAAATCAGCATGGAAGGGCACTGAAGTCAGCATCTGCCCAAGGAGCTGCTTCATCGACAAAACGCCTGCCCAGGGGACCTGGCACATTGCTGATGCCGGTGCTGTCAGGGAAACACACGCAAAGAGAGGGTAGCTGGTTCATTGTGCAGAATGCACAGAAAATATAAGTCTCTATTTGAAATCCAAACCTATGAAAGCCTGTGGGGAAAAGTCAGGGTTTGTTTTGTTCTGAGAATCATGAAAACGCTGCTGGATCAGGCCCAACTAATTTTGATTTTGGATAGTTTCACCATACAGAATGTGTAGGCAGAAAAATGGAGCAAGGCCACAAAAACATTTAGAATGCAAGATCACCAGAGATTTCAGAAATGCTGGTTTGCACCCTTTAGCGTTGGTACGGCTGATTTACTCGCTCGTATCTAAAACAGAACTTGGCACAAAGATGGGGGGGCAGGAGGGGATGCATCACCCTTGTTATTACTTAGTGCTTCCCTGTTCCAATATTCTCCAGCCAGTCCCTTGGCATGGCCAGCAGCTCTCTATTAATGATTTGGGTGTGCACATCTGTGCAGCAGCAATTTCCTTCAGGTTAAATGGACTTTAACTACTAAATTTCCTTCAAAGATATTCTTCCTTATCATTCTTTCATTTGCTGAACATATTTTCAGATTTTTTATATGTAGGCGCTTTGTACATACCCAGGAAGATCTTGACCATCAAATTCTTGTGGGGGAAAGTGAAGGTACATGTTATTGCAATATGCAGACATTCTTCTAGGCATTCCTCTCTCGCAGGAGTCTTAGCTGATCTTCCATGGAAGGGTTAGGAAAGAGTAGTATAGGACATACCTGGCTGGCCAGCATTAGGCAGGAGCTGGTTAGTCACATTCCAAGCATTCACACAATAATAGAAACTCACCAGCAGCTGGAGATGGAGCAATCGCCTGCCTAAAAGCCTTCAGCCCAGCCCTGAGGTGACCCAGCCTCCCAGGTGTGCGCGGAGACCACATGGATTCAAATGTGCCAATCAGGAGCCCCGGCGGGAGTTTCAACCATTCAAGCAACTTTCTGTGCTACCTGGTCATTCAGGGCATAAAAGGGGGCTCCAGGGGTTGATTACCATATTGCTGGGAATGAACCTGTTCTTGAGAATAAAACTTAGTTTTTTCAGCCTTTCCCCCTTGCTGTGCTTAACTGGGCCAAGAGTGCCAGGGTCCAAACAGTAGCATATACTGATGACTGGCCCAGTCTGTCAGGAGCGGTACTCATTTCTTAGAAAGAAAAAAGGTGGGATGTAAATTAAGAAATAAAATAAACATGGGCCACTGTCCTGAAACATTTCCATTTTCTGTCTGTCTGTCTGTCTGTCTGTCTGTCTCTTTCTTTCTTTCTTTCTTTCTTTCTTTCTTTCTTTCTTTCTCAAACTTTTTTGTGTAGCTGGACACTCTGCCACTCTGCCTATAATTTTGTAGAGGCAATTAAAATCCTGCATCTTCAGACCTCCCCATCCAAGTAGGTCACTGCTTTCAAATCCCTATGGACTGACGCCTGCACACAGACCATTCTGCACCTACAAGGGCTCTCCTCACCACGCCTGCAGTGTGCAGGCAGGAGGCCCCCTCACGGCAGGGGAGCAGGCCTTCCGCCGCCTGGGTAGGCCTGCACCACTGGGCAGAGGCTTGCATGGGTGAACCACACGGAGCAGCCATGCACTGTAAGACGCGGGGCAGAGCCTGCATCCATACCTCCCCTGCTGTGAAGATAGCAGCCCTTGTCCTTTTTCCCCAAAGGCCATGTGAGACAGTCAGGGTGAGCTGCAGCTCTCTTTCCTTCCACGTCTCCTGACCATCAGGGGAATATCTGAAAGGCAACATTGGGAAGATCCCTATTGAAAGTGAGCTTATCAGGGGTTCAAGGATCATCAGGGGTCCAAGGTAAGGCAGAATTAGAAGGAACATCAAGGTCATCATTCATTGCGTCATTATGTCCGTAATTTGTAAAACTTGGGATTTTTCAGTGCTGCAGACATGGAAAGCCCTCCTGATTGCTGCAGACTGTAAAAAAAGTTAGGCCCAGCTTACACAGTTTTCTTTCAGCTTGATCCTATATATGGGAGCTATAGGAGTGTAGGGATACAGAAATAAGCAATGCCTAAGCTTGCCAGGTCCTCCAAATTCCATTTCAAAGTGGGTTCCACCTTGAGTCTGCATCAAATCACAAGTTGTTGTTGTTTAATTTTCGCATGAAAAGCTGTAGAAAGTTTTGCAGATGTATATATCGTGTACTTTTATGAAATGTATGCACTCGACTACTATTTATTAATAGGGTGCATTTTTCATTTTTTTCGTTTTTCATTTCATTTTTGTGGCATTTTTCAGATGTACATATGTTCGCAAATAACACTGCAAGCTTGAACATGTATAGACTTTGACTGCAGACTGGGTTCAAGTTGGTGTTCAGTTTGGAAGCCAGGAACTCAGTAAAACCTTATCAAAAATAAACAGAAGTACATTTCTTACACATCCCTAATTGAGTAGATTATAACATACAGCCCTTTTGGAGAACTCTTCCGTTATGTTTCTTTTCTATAATGGATGTAGAATCTAAAATGTCTCATTTGAACTTTTGTTTATTCCCTCTCCTGCAGACCCAGCAGAGAAGATCTGCTACTCAATGTTATTCTCAAAGTGGTACATCTACATGGTTACAGAAATGCCCATCACTTCACAAACTCCCTGTAATCAGGTATGACAGCTCAACTTGGCTTGAAATGAATACTGATTCCTTAAAATCAGAAACTGTCTCTGGAGCACAGTGCGTGGCTTTCAGTGAAATTTGCTGTTTTGCTAAGTGAGCTTTGCAATGCTTAATGTTGCTTGTTGGATCTCTTACAATCCTAGTTCAGTCCTAGGAGGAGTACAATCCTAGGCACACTTACCTGGGAGTAAGCTCCACTTAATCCTGTAACACTTATTTCTGAGTAGACACAAATGGAATTGTACATTAAACAGTTAAGTGAAAAATGCTCAATCCTGCACCTAAATACCTTTTGTTCTATAAAAGTAACTAAATCCCTGGAGAGATATAAGGTTGTCTTCATGAACTTCAGTATAATCAACAGATAACATAAGACTACGGGGTACTAGAAAAAGGAAGGCTGGTACTTAGCAGTAGCAAAACTCACATGGGTTTTGGAGAGCCATGAACCTCTGAAGGCATTCATACCTATTTTTGCTAAGCTGATCTTGAATGAAATGATAGAATAGTCCCAGAAGTCACAACATTTTTCCCTCCTGCTTGACCACAGCTTTGCAGCTCCAACTGCTCATATAGATTGGGACTTAAGTTACATCAACTGGACGTATTTACTCCAGTGCTTTGTTGATCTGGGCTGTTTCTAAGACCAGTACGCCAACTACAGCAAGGAGGCCTGGATGCAGAGTCCTGGGGCACGAGGAGAGAGGGGTTAGTCCCTCGGGAGAGGGTAGCAGAGGTGGTGGGAATGCAGATAATGTTAGGCAGACACAAGTGAGAGCTCGGAACCTCCTGGTCCTACACGGCTGCTGCCTCTACTCAGCTACCACACTTCCTTTTCATCAACCGGGTTGGCTGAGTGCTTGGCAGCTAGCAGCCAGTTGCCATGAAAAGCTTTCAGAAATCATTCTCTTGCCCCACAGTAACTCAGGGGGCAGAGATCTGCCCTTCCACACTGTATGAAGCATCAAGCACATGGATCATGGCATCCTGCTCACCACACACACACACACAGAGCCAGCATCTTTCATCCAGCAGCGTCCACCGAGTAATTTTTGCTAATGGTTAACAAGAAGCCGAGGACATTCCCGCCTCAGCTGTAAGGGAGCTGGGAAGACTCCCTGAGCCCAAGGCCAGCAGGATCTTTCAGCAACAGCTCTGGAACTTGGGTGAGCAGTGAAACTGTAGCAGGGTTCTATCCGTGGGATGTAATTCTCGCCTATGCAAAATAAAAGTAAAACTTGCAAGGGCCATGTTTGCCTGGTTGTTGACAGTAGGAAATACGTTGCAGTAAATGGCTACGAAGGATTTACCATGCAAAATAGGGGTTTAAAAACCTCTTTGTAAAGGGCACAATCCCCTGCATAGTTCAACAGAAGTCCTTCAACACCTAGCATCACTAAGCTGAGTGGAGCATGGTGGGAACTGTATTTATTTTTATTATTATTAATTCGCATTTATATCTTGCATTTTTTCCTCTTGTGACTTATTGTAGGACTTATTTCTGTCAAAACATGCATAGGATTGTAGCCTGTATTTTTTTTCACCTCTCTACAAAACTTTAGTATGAAGGGGGAAAATATCCTTGAACATCCTTCCAATTTTCTTATCAGTATGAACATAGCAATGGGTAGAAGCACTTGTGTATTTGCAGGAACAGGGACAAAAATAAAGTGATTTAAAAAAAAATCAAACAGTTGCTAAATCCTTTAAAGCCCACACTTCAACAGTTGTCAAAAACATTTTAAAAATCCAACTGAGCTCTTTGCAGAGTGAAACAAATAAAGCAACATTACCTGTTGGATGGTACTATCTGTTAAAGGGTTTGGAATTCAGCCAGATGTACATAAATTTAGCAGTAAACCCATGTGGAAGGGCACTCTGCAGTTTCTATAAATCTCCATTTCCCTCAAGCCAGAAAAAAGAGCACATATAACATTTACTGAGTGCCTTTTGTGTCAATCACTTAGTTACCTTTGTTTATCTTTGAGAAAAGTTGTGCTTGCCCTTCTGTCAGACCAACACTAGCTCCCTAGACTTTGTAAAACAGTTTTTAAATTGGAAAAAGTGTGAGAGGAAAGACTTTTCTAAAGTCTACTGTGTAAACAGAAAACCCTATAGGAGCTATGTGGGGAGGGACTGAAAGATCCAAATTAAGGCAGTAAGCAGAACAATACAGGGACAAGGAAAAAGAACAGGGTTCACTTTTCAGCAAAAAACAAACCAAAACACTCAGCCTTTCCATGTACATTATATGCAGCTCCAGGCATCTTAACTTTCACATTTACAGTGTTTTCATATTCAAATGCTCTTTTGGTTATGCCATTTAAAACCAGCAGCTAACAATTTCAAATTTAGCTTTTGTGAACAAAATAACTAGATGGCAAAACAGCAAAAGTACAAAGTTGGCTTCTTGCTGTCTCGCTATAGCTAGACCTGTATTTTGGATGTAAGAAATCCATTCAATCGGGAGAAATGTGTGCAATTCATGTTTTAGATAAATGGAAGAGTAGCTAGGGCACATGAACCTGGTAAGAAGCTCTTCTAGGAAATTCCTCTTTTAATACACATCACAAACGAAACCCATACAATGCCCAACGTCCACCTGAAGCACAGTTATTTGCATGGCTGTGGCCTTTATCTGGCCAGAATCCAAAGTGCCAGCCAATATTTTTCTTAACCCTAATTTAATGGTATTGGCTTCACAGAGTGACCACAATTCAGGATTTAGAGTGCATTTCTGCATCTTGCTGATAGACAAGATAGAACTGTGGAGTCACAGATGCTATCACTGGGCCATAAAACAGAGGTTACTGGCAGACATTTTCTGATTTGTGTGCTCATCCTTGCCTCTTGGCCACAGGAGTCCAACAGCGCACTGTCAGTAAGCGGGTGGCAAGAGCCGTGGGTCGTGGCTCTGAGGAATCCTCTACACCAAGCCTGGAAGCTCGTGACTCAGCCTACTCTCTTAAACATTGTAAGCCGTCCTGAGATTTTGAATAATAGGATGGCATACAAAAGCTTTTAATACATACATACATGCATACATACAAGCCATGCAATGGGAGTCAGGGGCTTAAAGGAATGAGAGGGATATCAAGCCAAAACCTGCCTGATCAGCTCAATGTAGCGTGGTGAATCACCCATTCTGTGGTCATACGCCATGTCTTTACAGAAGAGCGGCAGTAGCTGCGGGTGGGGGGTGCAATTCAGTGGCTTTGCATCCAGGAGGCCCCAAGGGCAATTTCAAGAACAACCCCTGAAAGAAGCCTTGGAGAGTTTCTACCAATCCATGTCAACAACACTGGGCTAGAAGGAGTAATAGTTTCATACTGCCTGGTAGCTTCCTGTGTTACACATCCCAGTCACGTCCTGCTTCTATCAGAAGATCCCCCATTCATTTTTAAACATCCTGTGTTGCCCTTCAAGAAATGCTCTTAATTTTTTTAAAAAATTGGATCAACCTTGGAATACAGTTAACGAGCACAAGGAAGGCAGCAGTGCAAAGAAGCCAATAAATACCATGAGCCATGAGAATACCTTGGTTTAAAGAATGAAAAGCCAAGTTTGGCTGTCTAAAATAATGCCAAAGGAGAGAATCCCATAAATGAGGTGTTGACACGGAGAAAGCAGTGGTGGTGGACGATTGCAGTTCTCCTCAAGATTCTTTGGATTCTAGCTATGCAGAGCTTTTAAAGATTAAGTACTCTATTCAACAACAGATTCAGCAGGAGCTGATCATCTGAGGCCTGGAAACAAAGCCTATGAAGATGGATTGAAAGAACCGGGCATGTTTAGCCTCAAGAGGAGAAGACGGAGGGGCGAAGTGACAGCACTCCACAAGTACTCAAAAGGCTGCCACAAAGAGGAGGCAGAACTTTCCTTCTCCACCATCCCCAGAGTGCAGGACACGGAACAATGGGCGGGTTCAAACCACACTGAGCCAAGGTCTGGCTTCACTGGCTCTAACTTTCCTGACTGTTAGAGCAGTACAAGAATGGACCCACTGACCTAGGGAGGTTGTAGGCTCTCCCACTGCAGAGGCATTCAAGATGCAGCTGGGCAGCCATCTGAGAAGGATGCTTCAATTCAGTGTCCTGCCCAATAGCCTTCTGCCCCCATCCCGACTCTACTATTCTACTATTCTGTGTATGTGGTGGTGGTGGGGATGCATTGATGCCCTATCAAAATTTGCTGCCGCTTACAGCTATTTTTAATGGGCTGAAATTTTCAGAGTAAGGTTGAAAAGTATCCTAAGGCAAGGAAGAATTTTGTTCAGTTTGCATTTTAATGATTAAAAACTTATTTATAAACTTCTAAACAACTTATTTAATTATATTTTTGTACCACTCAATAGCCAAAGCTCTCAGGGGCAGGATTAAAAATTAACCCTAAAAACACAACATGATAAAGTATCAAGCCTTTACATTTAGAACAGAATAGAATCAAAGTTAAAAAGAAACAAGAAAACAGGGTAAAGAGCCAAAAGCACAATAGTACATTTGGGGTACACAGTCCTATGCATGTTTTGTAGTATGTTTTTATTTAAATAAAAAATTTCAACCTAAAAAAAAAAATTCAACCTATGCATGTTTATACAGAAAATTGCCCTACAACTCTCATTGAGCCCAACATGCAAAATATTGCCTTCATTGGGCATTTAACAGATTCGCCAAACTAAAATGTGCAATGGAATGTAGTTGTCCTTTGATATTAGACTGTCTCAGGATTTCGCAGGGTCATTCTTCAAATGAAAAAGGTGTCAACAAATGCAAATGATATACAAAGCAGCATTATATAAGGGGAAACTGCCTGCAAAAACTGCATATATATGGTGAAAATGCCAACTATATTAGGAGAAATGCACACTTTTTTTCCAGAATTCTTTTCAAGAACTAGTATAAACTGACATGGGAATGGAATGGACTGGAAAAGCTTAGAACTGGAAAAGTGAGAAAATGAGAGAAAGCAGAATTGACCAATTTGTCCATCCTTGGATCCACTTGTGCCAAAGTACTAAAGCTTTAGGATGCAACAGGCCGGATTTCAACCTGTTTCCCTTTCTAGCTAGGCAGCTCATTTGACCAGAAGTGCCTCTGCATCAGCCTGCAAGCTGCTCTCCTTCCTTGTGCAAAGGAAAAGGGAGAGATCTATATTTCTACCTTCTCATCCCTTGACCGCTGCTGAGGAAAGACCAGAGCTTGCCACTGACGAGGGCCATTCAAACCATTTGCTGACAGGGAAAAGGCCTGTGAGCTAAAGGCATCTCTTCAAGCCAACACGAACATCACCGCAGGAGAAGTTCCTCTCATGTAAGGCTCGCCTCTTCTCCAAAACAAACACAGAGGGGGAGAATCTAAGTGCCTCCGCTTTGATTTGGGGTGGAGATCAGCAGCCACATCCCCCTTGCTACATCCTCCCAAAGCAGCTAGTTGAGCACACACTTTATTCCTCTGCTTGCACAATATCCTTCCCTCCAAATTAAGCTAGTACATCCACTGGCTGGATGTATTTTGTCTGACTCTTTGCTCACAGCAGGTTCAAAGGACATGGTCGTTAATGCATGAGTAGCTGCTGGCGGACTTTCTTCCCTAGCACACCCATCATGGCTATAAATAGATGCAGGGTTCAGACACCATTGGGAGACTGCAAAAACAAACTTCAAATGAAAATAGTGCCTTAGGTGAAAAAATAAATTACCATCACCAGAAAAACAAATCATGCCCATACATTACGACCATATACAGTAAGCAAATGCCCTTCTAGAACAGAGGTGCCTTCAGCTTACAAAGCATTAAGAGCAATATGCAATTAATTTGCATGCTTTCTGCTATGTCAACAGCAGGCAGGGGAAGCATGAGGAGTCTGGAGACCGTGTGGGTGCAGGGTGATTAAACTCCCCCTTCTCCAGCATCACAGTTCCAGAAAAAGGTACTTCTGCGAAGCTGCTATCTGCTTGTAAATGCAGGAGGTATATTAACAAGGAAGGCTTGTCACTGCGGTAATGTATTTACTGGCAGTCCTGCAAGGCTAGCTCTACCGTTCATCTAAGCAAGGTAGTTCCTGCAAGCAGCAGCGGCTGGGAGGCTGCTGTGGGGCTTCAGGTGTGGTGCCAGGTGCTGTCCAATGTATCAAAGACCTGTTCAACAGCCAGTCCAGCAGCTTTTCTGTAAGAACTAAAAGGAGGCTGCATCTTGCCCTTTGCAAAGTCAGACAGCAAAATGCCTCGGCCCAGCCCTGCAAGAGTGAGAACTTTCCCTGGGATTCATAGGAAAGCCATACATTTAAATTGTTTCATGCCCTTAAAACCTCTCTACTTCGGCTCTTAGAGGTTCTGAACACTGCAGACTTGTCTGCAGTTGGCATGCATTCAGTATCTTTGCTATAAAGGTAAAGATAAATATTCTATTTTGTTGGGACCATTCTTTTCTCAGTGGTCAAAACAATGTTTTGTATTTCCCTGCAAGAGAATAATGGGGGTAGTATTTCCTGAGAATAATGCTATGCCATGTCCCAGTGGGGCATCCTGTCACAGGAAGGCTACTGGGCTGCAGAGTTTGGCCAAACTCTGAAGGGTAGCAAGGCTCCCACCGGGGGGGGGGGGGGACTTGGCTATCTTATCTTCCTTTCCAGATGTTGTGCACAATTGGCTCTGTTAGACCTTCATCAGCCTTCATGCCCCATGTGCAAAACTCACTGGATAGACTTCAGCCCAGCATTGCTTGTCATTTCAGAGCCTTCAGCAAAGCACCTTCAAGTGTGAAGGATGTGAAGCTGTGACTGCAGCAGCACATAAAGTGCCAGCTTGTATTTCTGCCCCAGAAAGCCCTTCTAGGGGAAAACACCAGGCCACCTTCATTAAACAGAATACATGAAGGTGTGAACATATGACAAATGTATCCCTGAAAATGTGGATTAATCCCATTAATTAATATTGCATGCCAATGCTACTGGGTTTATTCTGAAGTTTCAGTTCTTGGAAAGCAAATATATATAGGATTCTAAAAGCCTGAGAATGAATTATGCAAGTTCTTCCAGATGTGCTGAACTATCTGAATGACAGGAACCTGACTGCTTCTGGCTTTTTCTTTTTGCACAGAGATAAAGGCTACAAGATCGGCCGCAGGAAGTCAGGATGGCCAAAAAGCTGGTGACCGCACAGAAACGAGGGGAGACCAGAGCAATCTGCCTGGGCTTAGGAATGGTGGCCTGCTCAGTTTTTATGTATTTCTTTATTGGGGTCACCATAGTGCCATTGTACCAAAGAAGGTAACTGGGCTTCCTTGACCTGCCTGTGGGGGTTTCTCTGTCGGCATGAAGAATCTGGCCATTCTTTGAAGCAGGCATGCCATGCACATGCAGCCATAAGACAGTCACCAACCAGCTAAGTCCGTTGGGAAGCTCACATGTCGTGATTCCAATCCGAGCCCATCAGACTGCGCAGACAAACAGTGCAAGTGGCTCTTTCCTCTGCCCTACATGTGAAGCCACATGAAGTGCAGGCAGCCTAAGGCTCCAGTCGTGGACGTCTTTCCTCTCAGAAGGGTAGGCAGAGGAAGCGTGGCATGAGCAGGTCCCTGCACCTCCCATATCACACACCCCTTTAGAAGCACTGTGGAAGGTCAGAGTCCCTGTGCTGTGCGCCCGTTGCACGGCTGGCCAGGTTAAGGGTATGCGCCTGGCCATGGAGAGCTTTAGGCACTGATGTCTTCTCGGAATGGAAGCTCCATCGCACTTCAGGCCACAGGGTCATTAAGAACCCAGCCACAGCAGACCTTCATTGCTAAACATGCCAAATCAAATTTCTGTCTACAGAGGAGCCGTTGCTTTTGCGGCAGAAAGTGCATATATCCTTGCTGTCATGCTTGAGGTCTGAGCAGTCATGGTATTCCACATAATGGCAGCAATAACGTTTTCAGCTGGCTGCAGTTGGCTAACAAGTAGCAGGTGCACCTGATGAGCTGTGCACACTTTGACAAATTAATCAACCTACTGAAAATTAAGCCAGGCTCCGTCATTACACATATCATTCATTCCCTATCTCTCTTCCCCCTTCCAAATACTAACACTATTTACATGAATTCCACAAGAACACGTTTCCAGTGCTGCGAAGGTACCTATTTGTAGAAAACGAAATGCTGTAAGAAATGCCAGTACCGTTAACAACCCGAGCCAGACTTCGGCAGCAGCAGGAGGCAGCCTAATAGCAAAAACAAATTAAAAATCTGCAAGCAAAGCACAGGGAAACATGCTGATGTTCATCTATGCAATTGGTCCTCTTCAATATCAAGGATGGCTGAAAACTGTAGATGGATTACAATATTCCAAGCCTTCCAAAAACATTACCCATGAAGGGGGTTTAGAGAAGATTGCAAACAAATGTGAGAGCGAAGGTAATGGGGACTGGCCAGCAACCACCGCTGCACCCTCTCAGCACCTCCTGTCTGGCTCCTGCCTCACTCCCACCTCTCCTGCTTGACCTCTGGCTGCCCTCGCAGCTTCCACTCATGTTCCACTCACATGTATTTGTTAGATTTCTGTGTGGCAAATGACCTTGGGGCAGTTTACCAACTCGCACCACCAAGGGCATCTGGGACAGCCACTGGCACATGCTAAGGCGGATGCGAAGTCACGGGCAGTGCTACCTTGATCAAAATCACAGGAGGTGCCCAAAAGTGAGCTCACGCAACTGAGGTTACTGTGCCAAGTGCACGCTTTCTACAGATGCATCATCCCAACCTGATTATGCACGATTATACCGTATGACATTTCATACAGTAGTTACATATCCCTGTAATGTGCTCTACATGAAGGTGCCCTTGAACTTGAGCTGTCCCAGAATGTGACCAGAATGTTGACTGGGACCATGAGACTCCTCTGTTAGAGCAAATTCACTGGCTACCAGTCGATATCCAGAAACTATTCAAAGTGTTGGTTGGGACCTATAGTGCCCTAAGCAGTTGGGGAGCAAGCTACTTGAAAAGTGGTTGCCTCCTATCCAAGTCCGCCAGGATTTTAGGATCTTCCGAAGAGGCCATTCTCTCAGTACCCCTGCCATCTGAGGTGTGTTTGGTGAGGACACACCTCTCAAGAGAGGCCTTTTCAGTCGCTGTTCCCAGGCTATGGTCATCCCTCTTTGCCTTTTCTGCCAGCAGACAAAGACGTTTAATGCAAACAAACCTTTCATGTAAGAACTAGCCTGCTGTTGCCAGAGATTTCATTTCACACAATGCAGTGGTGTTAGTTTAATTGCCATTATGTTTTAATTAACAAATGTGTTGTCTTTGCATTGTTTTTTTTAGAAAAACTTAATTATAAATACTGTAAGAGAAAAATTGAGGAGACAATCTAAGTGTAATAGTGCTGTATTTAGACAGTGTGCCATTTACAAGTTTTCTTCAGATAATTTATCATTAAACTCCAGTTTCTGGACAGGACCACTCACTGTTTAATTGGAAAAAAGAAGCATCTGAAAACATTTGCTAGATTTTTAGTACTGTTCTGAATCATTCCATTTGACACAGAAATGCCAAACAATATCAGAAGCAAATGTAGCCCTTGAATATTTAAGTAGTCTTAAGCAAGATTATTAAATCATTATACAATGATTATATGTTAATCTATGACATTTAAAAGTGAGCGGTGGATATTTTGTTCATTATCGCAGTGTCTGGACCAAAGAAAGTGTATGCAAACTGATGAAAGCCAGCCTCGAGAAAAAAGTTCAATTTCCATTCAGTGAAGGCTTCGGTGATGAGAATACTTTTCATTATCCTTGTCTGAAGGTCCAGGTCAACCTGACGCGCCTCGGGAAGTTGGTAATGCTGCACCACACAGAGGACACCGTCTACAGAAATCCCAAGGTTTGAGCGCTATCTATCAGAAAGTTATTGAATCTCTGAATCCCTCAGCTAGATGAGAAAAGACACCCATGTTTTCTTTGCCATGCACAGATATAATGTACAGTTAACATAGTCCAGTGGGAGAGAGGACCAGGAAGAGACACAGGAAAAGTTCCAGGAGGAAATTTATTTATTTACATATATTCATAGGCCGCCTATAATTGCCAAGGCCTTCCTAGGGGGCTTGCAAAACATACTCACAGAATAAAAGCACATTAAAACCAATTAAAATAATTAAACTTCTATAAAACAATTAAAACAATTGGAATGGGCCACAGCATACAGGCTAAACGTTTAAAAAAAAATCCTAAATAGAGATGCCCCTTCCTGATTTTCTTTATCCCAGACTAGGTGTGCTGAGGCACAAGAGGCTTTGCAGCAGATTCTGGCAAAGTGTTTACACTTGCCAAATAGCTTCCTCCGGGAACCGAGGCAAAAGGGAGCACTCTATGGCAGCATCCGTTCCTCCATCCGTCCACCATCCAAGAGTGCTAGATCATGCAGCCTTCCTGACTGGGCCAGTGGCAAGTGCTGCAGTGAACCGTATGCCTGCACTTGCCCGGCTTGATGGGTTGCATCCACTGTGAGTCTAGTTAGCCGCTCTGCTTCTATGCTGAAGGCAACCTGCTGATTTTGTGCCTGGAATGTACAGCCAAGGAGGGACTGGCACAGATGCTGCAGCGCAGACACGCAAGAGCCAGCCATTTAGGCATTGCATTGGCTTCCCGGGCTACCTGCCTGCAGATGGATGGCCATGGCACTCCTTCCAAGTTCATCCTCAGGTGATGAGGGTCTTTTTTACTGAACACACCTCAGGGGAGCATGAAATGTTCAAACCCCTGCACTTCCCTCAGGTATATTGTTTCCCAGAATTCAACTTTAGCAAGACATAAAAGCACACATTTCTTTTAATTCAATGTAGTGTTTTACTCCACTTTTGGCCAGAACGTCTACCCTTGACTAAATATATATTTATATTTTCAGGACTGGAAATGTGCTTTCAGTGTCCCATTTATAAAAAAGAGAGAAAATCTCACTGGAGCTATAATAAGGGGGTGCTTTTAAATTATTATTGTGCATAATTCATTACTGTTATTCTAAAATCCTCTCTTCCCACTAGAATTCTAATGAATCAACTTCCCAGGATTTATCACACTTATAGAGTAGTACTGAATGAAACTGTGTACCTCTATTTCATACCCAGTATCAGTACAGAATAAGATCAGATACTGTCAGCTCCAGTCACATAGCAAGAGCCACCAAAAGCAACGCCAAAACAGTTTTCAGGGAAAGAATAATTATTTTAGGTGAAGTTAATTTACATATCCACTTGTTTTTATTCAGATCCTTACTTGTAATTAGTTCCCATGCCTTGTAATAATTCACAGCACAGAAGAAAACCATTCTATTTACATTTCAGATATGAAACATTCCTAGGAAAATAAACACTAAAGCAATTTGCCCTTGTAGAAGGTTCACCAGTTGCTTCAAGGCTATGAATTGTTGCTTGAAAATTCTGTCTCAGGAGTTTCATTCATAATAGAATTACCTCTTTTAAATAGGCATTTTGCAGTTCTCCAACAGATATTCTGCACTACTTTTCAATAAAACATTATTCACACATTTAGGAAAGAGACTATATTAGTATAAATAAACTCACTGATATTAAACTGAAAACAGATTTCTGAGGCAAAATCAGAAGAGCTGATACATCTATTTTTAATTACCAGTAGTCTATAAAAAATTGATAAACTGAACATTTTTCATTACATTTCAGAAAGTCCAATGCAAGACTTTCCCTGGCTTTCCCTTGGTTTTGCTCAGACTGCCAAAGGGTTCATCAACTGACCAATAGTTCATCAACATCCTTCCTTCACCTTCTTGACCCCGTGCTCTAATACTATCACCTAATATTCAGCAAACAACATTTTACAGGTCCACAAAGAGTTGCACTCATTATTTTCATCATCCTTGCAACTACCTCAAACTGTAGGGCATTGTTACTGCTTCCTACGGAACCTGTGCTCTGATATCAATAAGGCAGGTTAAAGTTTACGCATTTGTGCTGACATATTGAATGCAACACTCTATATATGCTTTCTTGGAGATAATTCTCACTGTATCCAGTTGAGGTGTGCTGAGGACCATCAGCTAAGAAAGCAGTCCTATGGCTCCTCGGCAGCACCTGATTGTGGATTTACCTCACCAACCAAACTGTAAACCTCGGCTGGATGAGAAGTCTACATTTGGGTGTCAGACCTACTCCATCCCCTCATGCCTTCTTTCCACCACAGCAGGCTCTGCAGAGGTCCTTTCTACCAAGCTGGGGAATTATGTCCTTTGGATTTCAGGGGCTTTGACTGTGGGAAGGAGGACAGAGGATACATCTACCTACATGCATTAACTAGGCAGCTCAGGGCTCCATCTAGACTGGCCGAAAAGAAACCCCCCTCCATTGCTCCTTTCATTTCTCCCATCCTGCATTGGATGGGTGGTGGCCTTGACTGTCTGGGGCCTCCATCCTTCTAGTGTCTATGTAGTAGGACTGTGTCCTAAGTGTCTGCAGCGGAGATAGGGAAACTGCCAGTATCCAGCCCTTAAAAGTTCTCCATATAGCTGTCAGCTTCTTCCCTAGCTCCTAACCCTTAATATCAATACCACTCGGACTAGAACAACAGCTTTCCCCTACTGTGCAATGAGAAAGAAAGCCTTTGGGACTGTGTAATTGAGAAAAGTTCTTAGTTCTTGAGTTGTGGTTAATGGACGAGAGATCAAATCTAATTATAAAAATTGTAGGGGCATCAAATATTAACTACACAGTGGTGTCCAGAGGTTTAGTGAAACAATGTACAACACATTCAACATTAAGAATGTCAAGCGATATCATCCAAGCCTAACTTTATTTGGACTTAGCATTCAAAAGACTTACGTTCAAACTAGGTGTGAGCATTCCAAGGACTAAACAGCCTTTTCCAAGTACTCAAAGTTCAAGCATCCAGGATAGGAAGCCCTGCAGTTGTTTCTGCCTGTCTCAGCGCAAGTCAATGGCCTTTGGTTACTTCCATAGCAATTAAATGGCCCCATTAGTTCCTAGGAGCTGCACAAAGTACTAGCTCCAATGGGAACTCAGCCTTGCTAATGGGAACTCAGGCTTTCTGAGTGTTAAACTTTTGCTCCACACACACCATTTCATCCGCACTGCATCCCCCATCAGTGCCCCACCCCCGTGGACAATCACCTCTATGCATTCTTTCTAAAGCAAATTGACAGGCTCGGGAGATATGCTTCAGATTGGTCTGGAAAGATTATTCACATTCCTGTTGGTTTGAAGAATTCATTTAAATTAAGGAGAGCTTTTAGAAGACCACCCAGTTCTATTGAAGAGTAACGATGCTGTTCATATGCATGATCTTGTGAAGATTTGATACTTAATGTGTAGGAAAGCAATACTAGAAGCTGCATCTGTTAAGGATGGTTGCAGTCTAGTGCTTCCCTTCTGAGTATATGCTGGTGCTAACTGATATCCTGGGTTTGTTTGTTTGTTTGTTTCCACAGTGTTCTTTTATCCCTCCAAATACGCTGAATCACAGTGCAGTTCAAAAGCTAGTGAAAAACATAACGGACAATTTCAGAAGGGTGCAGATATTCCCTTGCTATTATGACCCATCAAGAGAAGAAAAGAATGCCCTTTTATGTAGATTATATTCTTTAGATGGCCTTATTTTTGCTTTCTTTTGGCCAACTCTGATGTTGCTTGGTGGGGTCTTGATTGTCATCATGGTGAAAGTAAGTCAGTATTTTTCTGTACTATCTGCTTCACAATCCAGAACAGAAATCTAGCATGCCCCACATCTGCCTGTATTTTATATCACAGCTTTGAGAGAAGCTGAGAATGCTTTTCAAGTTAACACCTTGTGTGTTATCAAGGTACAAGAGCAAAACAACAAGCATGGCTCTCAGCTGGGATACTTCTTTAGAAGCACGCAATTCCTTTTGACTGGACAGACTTACAGAGGCTTGTTCAGTTTTAGGTGATGGACAAAGACATACTGACTCTCTTCATGCCATCAGAACATTCTCCTGGTTTACTAAAAGCAGTTGTTGTCATGTGCCAACCTGGCAGAATGATGTGCGTATAATCATAGGCTTGTCTCTTTCAGTGTGGGCTTCCTATGTAGAGCATTTTGTGGGTCTTTTCACAATGGCACCTCCTCCAGGGTTGTCTCCTGCACTTTCCAGCCATTTTTGCAGGATTATTCTAGAGCGAGGAAAGTCTAGTATGAAATTTCAAACTAGAATTGAACTCTCATGAAAAGTCTCAGATCTGCTGTACGAAGGCTATGCTACAACAATGCTGCAGTGTTACCTTGTGTGTGGTTAACAGAGTATGGAGAAAGGCAGAGAAATTGAAAACTTGGGTGGGGGTGGGGGAACGTGTCTAAAAAAGACCCTTTTACATCCACACCAAAAATGGAAGACATTTCAGTAAGGCAGTGGGTTAAACATCTCATTTAAGAAGCCTTGCATCTCTGAACATGCAACTTTTGGAATTAATTTTAGGGTTTATTGGAACATCATGTTTCAACACTTTTTGGTTTGAACAGACTGAGAACTTTCGAAGGAAGGGGTACCAAATCTCCATCTATTTTTAGAGCATTTCACTGTCTCTAACCTGGAGGTCTGTTGTCTGGAGGAAGCAGATCCTAATTCAGGTATTGGTTCCCATGACAATGTTATCCTTGGGCTAGAGCAAGTTATCAGCAAGAGATGGCTCAGAGCTCATGGTTGCAAGCCCTCAGCAAGTGAGAGAGGCGGGTTTTCCCTCCATAATGGATCTGTACTGGTTGGGTAAAACTAACATGTTAATATGTACTATTACATTCTTCAAGGATGCATGTTTTCTGAAAACCAGTCTGAGGTGCCTGATCCTGCCTAATCTTGGAAGCTAAGCAGGGTCAGGCTGGGTTGAAATCTGGATGGGTGATCTGAGTCCTGCATTGACCGGGTGGCTGGACTTGATGGCCTGCTGGCTCCTTCCAGCTGTATGATTCTATGAACCTTTCATAAGGCACAGTTATGCTGGGATGAGAGGGACTCTCCTTAGCCATACAGGTCCCCTCAGATCACTCTTCTGACCCACCTGGCCTTTAAAGAGCCTCAGCTAGGTAACAAGCAGAAATTCACCAGGCAGAACTTCTCCATCACTGCACCTTTATACTGAAGAAATGCTGCACCACAGCTGTTTCACAGAGCACCTTTGAAAAGCTTGTTGTTAGGCAGGGCCGTCTTAACAGCATTATGGGCCCTGGGCAAAGCAGTGTACTGGGGCCCCTACAACTACTGTTAATTTTGGAAGTTTTCCCATTTTCCAAGGGTTAACAAGGGTTAGATTAGTATGGGGCCCACGGGCAAGTGCCCATCAGGCCCATGCGTTAAGACGTATCCTAGGTACTACCAGGTCATCTCTGACTTGTGGTGACCCTATGAATGACAGCCCTCTAAGATGTCCTATGTGACAGCCCTGCTTGGCTGTTCTAAATTCAAGGGGGTGGCAATGACACGGCACCTAATTTAAAGGCCTTTCTAGAATTCACTCCAGACCAAGAAGATCCATCCTACATATTCATAAGGGGATTTGACAGGTATGTGGTAGCGGAAGAAAAAAAATCAAGCATCTGCATTCATTTTGTCAATTCCATATTTGCCCTCCTGCCCCTTGAGATCGGCAGCAGAGGCCCTCCTCCGGGAACCCTCCATGAAGGACATTAGGAGGGTGAGTACCCAGAGGAGGGCTTTCTCTGCGGTGGCACTTCATCCATGGAATGCGCTCCCCAGAGAGGTCTGCCTGGTGCCGTCATTATATGTTTTTTTGGCGCCAGGTTAAGACCTTTTTATTCCAGCGGTATTTTAATAAGTTATAATATTGTTTTTTCTTTGTTTTTAATTGCAGCCAGTGTGGGTGGGGAATTTTAATTATGTTGTTTATGTTATTCCATTGTAAGCTGTCCTGAGGCTTTTTTGCGAATAGGACAGCATATAAATATTTTAAATAAATAAATAATTCAGTCAAAGGAAGGTTGCAGTAACTCTGTGATGACATTGGCACTCTGCATATGTTCAGAAGCACCTCTCCCTTACTATTATTTCACAGTATCTTCTATGGAAATTGTATTCTGGCTTTTAAATTATGGGAGAGCTGTTGTGTACTATGAGGACTGGGATGGCAAGTTGCCTTTCTCCTTCTTTTCTGGACTGGGGGTGGGCTAGCAGTTATCTTCCCACCCCTCACCCATCCACTCTAAACAGACATGTCAACCCTTCATCACGAATGCAATGAGTGCCAAAGAGAGAATGGGTTTGTTTGCAAGGTGGGGACACTGTCCTCTGGACAGTGTGTACATGAAAAAACTCCTTGCTTTCCCTTTAAGGATGCCAAGGATTCTGATTTAGTACTTTGCAGAACCTCTGCCTGGATGCAGCAGAAAGCTGCAGTCCTTATGCTCAGGAACGTTCCTTCCTACAGGCAACTTTCACAGAAAAGTCTATTAATGTACATTATTTAAAGAGAGAGAACACAATTGGAAACAGTAAGGGTACATGGAGAAAAGAAGAAGGGACCCCAGGAATTATTCATAGAGAAAAGATTAGGAATTCAGAGATAAAGGGGTGGTAAGCAAATGTGGAACAGAAAACATACTAGATCCACTGGAGACTACAGCTGAGAAAAGAAGCTTCCCAAATGCTGGCTCTCAGCCATGGAAGACATGATCTAAGAAATAGGGAATGGTGCTACTGGGCATATGCAGAGCGCATTTCTTTGCAACCTTAGCCTTTAAGCATTTGAAACAAAAGTTCAGGCCAAAGTACCCTAAAGGTACCATTTGAAATGCAGTACCCCATTAGAATATCAGTGATGCGAGTTATTTTTTTTTTAAGTGGCAGTGAAAACTACTGAAATAAGAACATGAAAATAGAATTTCAAAAGGAGATTACTATCATTGCTGCTTTGTGGTAAATATATATACCCCCAAGTCTGGAGCAAAATGCTTCAGGATTTTTCCAGATCACCCAAAAATGTCAAGCTATCCTTCCAATTCTTGTGCCCCTAGAATGAGGCTGAGAGACTGGGAAGCCAGTTCTCACCCATTTTCAGTTTTGCAGGGAAACAAGGATATTTCATAAAAGTCATGAAACATTTCTAGCCCTAGCCACACACAAAATGAATCTTGTGTGATCAAGATAGTAGTTAAGTGACCAACAAATAAACCACTGTCAGCCGGCTGGCCATTACTTTACTGTAGCTAAACAATTATTATATTGCAGTGTTGTGCAATGAAAAGCATGCATCTGTACTCCTAGATAAGAACACACACACACACACACACACACACACACACACTAAAGCAGGCGTTTCCCACCTGTGATACCCACAAACCTAGGGGATGCAAGGTGGCATTTCAAGGGGGTGTGACAAACAGGAAGGTTACATTGTGACTTCTATCAAACTTGGGTTTTTTTTTATCATTGGCTGGAGAAACGGGACTTGGCTTAGATTTAAAGAAGTCTTTAAGCTATTACAAATGGATTTGAATATGACTATAGAATGTTAAAAGATATGTAGTAAGGGGCTGACCCAGTTCATCCGATGTATTTGATGATTGATGTTTGTAGTATTAGTTTAAAATCTTAATAAAATCTTTTTTAAAAAAAGGAAGGTTACATTGTGATTTGCCAAAAAGTATGCCAATAATTTGGTTAATTGTTAGATTTATATTTCAATTTTATGCACTGAGTTAAAAACTTATTTTTTTTAGTTCAATTGGTTCACCCCCAGTACTGTGGTTCAATAAGTAGACATTTGACTTCTTCATCTTCAAATGTGATATTACTTTTGTAAGGGGTGTGAACATAAATCAAACATTTTCTAGAGGTGTGCAGCATAGAAAAGGTTGGAAACCACTGCCCATTCACAGTGGACTTCTGCCTTCTTGATTGATAAGTGAGCTTTTTTTCCTTCCTCTTAAAATAACTATTTGGTCTCATCTTGGTCTGCCAGTTACCAAATTTCTAGATGCCTGAATATCCAATACATCAATAAATCATATAGATTTGCATAATCCTAGTAGATAGTAATATCTGGGTAGAATTAAATAGCTTTTGCTGTTATTGGCTCAGAGCCCATGTTGCAGGAAGTCCACAATTTCTAGCATGATTTCTGCTCATGCAACTCTTCCTCTGTCCTCTCCTCCCCTCTGTGCTCCATGGATGCCACCAAATGCAGGCATCAAACTCACATGGGATTCCTTCTAAATAAATGTGCATAGGCATGCTCTGGGCAATGCAATAAACCACTGTTATTTGTCACAGTGGGATATCATGCCCCCATGCAAAAGCTGTGAGGGGGATCTTGAGGCTTCCCATCCAGAAGCCAAACCATGGAGTGCGAAAACACTCCTCGACTGATAGGAGCTCTGGAGACTTTTACATTGCCCCATAAAAGTCCACTGCACGGATCCAAAGTGTCGCTGCCCTCTTGAGAGCTCCTGGCTGAGATCCTTCTCACCGGAGATGCCAGGAAGTGACCCTGAGAACTTCTGCATGCAAGCGTGTCCCAAGAACAAGAATCCTCCTGCAAGCTCAAGATGCAGATGGGAGGATTGGTGGCTTGAGTGAAGTATTAGCCTGCAGCAAAGATGAGGAGGAAGCCAAGCAGGTAGGCTGCATTCCTTTTGTAGGAGGGTTCTTCAAAAAGTTTCCACACTTTTTACAACTCTATTTACTAAGAATTTCAAAACCAAATTGCATCATTTTTCAACACTTTTACATCACTTTTCACCTTC